GGCTGAGCCTTATGGCCTCTTGGACGCAGTATTGCCTCAGACGACAATGAGGGTGCGGAGGAGCAAGGCGGCAATGATGATGAAGAAGGAGAGGGGATCGATTTAACTCAACCCAGTCCTGACAACTCTGACGACGAGTATCATGTGGAAGGGGATGCTGGAGACTTGTACGAAGAGGAGGATAACAACTTTGTTGTAAACGACGGGGAAGAGGAAGACGAAACTGACGACGAGGATGAGGATTACGATGAAGCTGAAGATGGTGGGGCGGAACAGGATTGCCAGATGGGTGATATCCCAGAGGGCGAGGAGGAATGGTAGTGTGTCATTTTTCAATTCGGACAAGAGTGGCACTCTTGTCTAGTGTGTAGTGTTTTCCATTTTTATGCTCCATTGTTCCTCAGTACTTTTTCTTCCCTAACCGATGAAAAAAAAAATTCACACAATGTCAAAAGTAATTTTTTTCCTTGTATATATTGTAGTAAACCCTAAAAACACGGAAAGGGTATTTTTCTTTTATACTTTCCAGTCAGCCTTAAAACACGGAAAAGGCTTTTTCTCTTCTTCTGTCTGCTCAAGTCCACTCAAATAACATCTGCCAGCAATACAATATAACCATGATTGATCACATTTTCCTGAGTTAACCAACTGACATGGTTCCTGGATGAATTAAGAATTTTTTGATCATTGGTTGCTCATCCCGGCAGCAACAGTGGGCAGATATATTACCCAAATGGATAACTTTGTGTGTAATGTTAGCTCTACAGTTACATTACCTGTCAATTACTGATAACTTCATTTGCTTTACGATATCATTTCCCAAAAAAACACTTTTTGTGCTTTTAGTTACATTCCTGTGTAACTTGCTTGATTTCAAATTACGTTACCATTTTTTTTTATTTTGGATAACTTGATTTTAACTGGGATAATTTGACTGTAAATAGGATTACCATTGATATGAAAGCAAAAAAGGATGAGATAATGAAAACAGTTGTCAATCCTTTTGAACTTTTTTCCTCCCGCCTTTTTCTTCTCCTTTGTGTTGTTTGAGCATTTCTTTTCTTACATCCATGGGGCATCAGATTACTGAAATCATGAAGGTCAAAGCGAGCAAGAGGGGGTGTGCTCATATTGGGTTTCAATCAACAGTTTAATCATTTTCCCCATGGCAAAGTAAAACAAAGCCAAGTAGACATTGAGGAGAAGAATAAAGGAAGGCCGGAAAAATGCCCAAGAGCAAAAAACAACATGCAAACCAATCAGCCCATTTATTGATTTGATTTGATTGAATTTATAGATTAAAAACGTTACTTGTTTCCTTTTCTGAGGGATCCTTGCAGGTTTTCCAATCTCATATGATTGTTATTTGATGCTTGATTTGGACGCTGAATTGCTTGAGATTGGAAGATGACTGCTCAAGTTTGACCGGGTGTAAATGAGTAGCAAATGAAATCAAATACCTTTGAGGCAATCAGTTGAACAATCTAATTTACAGGGTCCTTGTTTGATTCCAGAAACGGCGGAAGAGTAACTGATCGTTATGTTTCTTTTGTTGCTCACATCTCTAGTCGCTGCTGAGGTAGTCATCAATTGTTTCTTCTTTGATGGTTTATTTTCAATAGAAGGGTTTTTTTTGCTTTTGATCTCTTTGATTGAACGATCGACGGTCTGTTTGATTGAACGATCACTGGTCTGTTTGAGTGAAAGATCGATAGAACGATTGATGGAAAGATTTATTGGACGATTGATTGAACACTTGATTGAACGATCAATAGAATTAGTTAATGAACGATTGATGGAACAATAAATGGAACAATCCATAGAAGCTCGAAGATATATTTGATCAGTCTTGGTGAAAACAAGTTGAATCAACTCAGACCATTGGATCTGTTTGAATGAGACTTACTAGGTTGAAGCGATCTGATTTTTGAAGGGGCCCGGTTGAATCTGGGTAGGGTCTGATGCTGACAGAAGGGACATGGGTGGTCGGTCAGCTGCCCCCCCCCCCCCCCCCTGAAACAATAAATCTAAGCCCACTTGGAAAGCCCAAGTGGCTGCCAAGTGGGGAGATGATAGGAGTCTGCTCACCTGGTGGTACTCTAAGCTGAAGAGGGTAGCAGGCAGGCCGGCAAGTCTGGTGGAACGACGAAGGATGGTGAAGGCTGGGGGAGGAGCCGGGCGTTTGATCGATTGCTCGGTGTCGGTGGGCAGTTTTTTGAGGCTGGAGGCGGTCCGATGCTGACAGAGGGGACATGTCGGTTGGTCAGCAGCCCCCCCCCCTCTTGAGATAATAATTCTAAGCCCGCTCGGCAGCCAAGTGGCTGCCAAGTGGGCAAAGGATTGAACGGAGGTTGGTGGTGGGTCTCACCACAGGGTAGCAGTTGGCCGTCAATCATTGTTGAGGTCGGCGAAGGGGGTTGGTAGCAGCTGATCGCCGTTTAGGTCGGCGAAGGGGTTTGAGGAGATCAGGCAGTCTGAAGGCCCGAAAGGGTAGCTGTAGTTGATCAGCGTGATGGGTCGAGGTTGTAGGTAGCGGAGTCGGTCGGCGCCAACGGTGATTTTAAGGGTAGCACGATCCTTTGATCGTTCGGCTAGCTGGACAGGGCAGACTCTCAATTTGAGGAGGTCTGCTGGGGCAGGGTGTCGTCGTCAGCTTGGGGCCCAAAAACACAAGACCGAACCACTTGGCAGCCCTTTGGCTGCCAAGTGGTGTGAGGAGTCAGTATGGGACGCTCTCACCTGTTCAAGGGTAGCGGATCCCTCCGCGCAAAGGAAAAATAAACAATAGGTATTGATGGATTGATTGTTCGATCAATCGTTTGAAGGCTTGGAGGGGCTGATTCAAGTTGGTCAGTAGCAGTTCATCCCTCTGAATAAGTATGAGGGCATGCCCACTTGCAGGGTGGCTTAAATGCGGATGAGGTTGGGGCACTCACCAGCCGAAAAAATGGGTATCAACGATGATTCAACCGTTTGAAGGCAAGGAGGCTGGGGAGGCTGCGTGGTGGGGGGGGTCGTTGATCGCTCGTTGTCAGCTAGAAGGATGTAATGTGATATGCAAACCAAGGACTAACCAAGAAAAACGGGAGGGACGGCGAGTCACTAAGTAGTAGGGATCTTTATTCTGGCCGATCAGGCTGGAGGAGCTGGGGAGAGGAGGGGGGAGGCTGGGGACGAGGGTGCGGCGGGAGGGTAGAAAGTCGGCGAGGCTGGGGGAAGCGATAACGATAGAGGATGGTGGAGGCTGGGGATGAGCCAGGGGACTAATCAATCGGGTCAGTGGTTTAAGCTTGACCGGTCTGAATCACTGTCCCAGCCCATCAAAAGTGATTCTATGCATACCCAATGTGTGAATAGGCAGCATTCAACAAGGCTGTAACTTTTGTAACTTGGGTTTGTCCAGTAAAGTGACATAACTCTCTAGGAGATAAGTTCCAGTTATCCAAAGTAAATCACACCAGAAAGAAATCATGTTACTTTGCAAAAAAATTAAGCTAACAAAATATAGTCTAATGGAAAAAGCGAGTGAAACAAATAAGGTATTCAAGTGAAAAGGTTAAGCAAGTGAGACAAGAAAGGAAATTGAGTAAAAAAGTGTTTAAGGAATGAACAAGTTAAACGGTAAGTGATATGGAATAAATGAGATTGAAAGCATACAAAAAGAGAAACACGTAGAATTTCCAGTAAAGATGAGATGAAAAAGCTTAGGGACGAATCAGGGGCAGGGCTTGGAGATCAAGTGAGGTGCGCTTGGAGATGAAATGGGGGTGGTTGACTGAGGCAGGAGAAAGAAGGATTCAGCCAGAAGTTGAACAGGTTACAGATGCAACGAATGAGAAAGACCTACCTACAGGTTTGACCAAATATTCAGCAATTGCCGGCAATGTTGAGGCATGCGTCATAGCCGTGGGGGATAAGCGCTATTCCATTTGTAGGAATACCAAACGTTTGATCATCTAGCAGCCGATATGCTGCTAGAGAGACTATCTGAGTGGGAAAAACCACCTGTTCGGTGTCTTCAACCCTTCCCACAACCATGCCGAAAAGAAACAATAAGTATCGGAAAGGCCGTGTTGGACAAGCATCCGTTCGTTTTGGGTACATATTCGTAATTGTTGACATTACCAAGAATTCCTCATCCTCGCCCAAACGGTTTTTGTACTGATAGCACTGCCGCACAAGACCATACCTCATTTTTCCTGCCACGTTGGCGACCACACAATTCCGAGGACTCACAGACCCCACCACTACTCCATTACAGTCGATTGATCTTATAGGTGTCACTAATCCCGACAGAACCCAGCCATGCCTGGGTACTGGAAACGTACCATGTTTAACCACCGACCGATCCTGATTTGCTACATGGTTGAAAAGCATTGTATACCTTGATGAACATAGCAATATTGATTTGGTTTGCCGTCCTCTTTGAGGCTTGTTGTCGTCAAGCACATTAGCCAACTGATTGTAATCGGAGCTTGCCAGCATACGTTGTAATCGACACCCACGAGTTATCATGCTTTGGTGCATTTCATCTACAAACACATCAGATCAGTATCAAACCACATCAAAGTAGTTTAGCAACTCACCAATCTTGTTGTTTGTGTTGATTTTCTGTAAGAATCCTATGAGGCGCTCTCCAGCGAACTCTGCTACACTGACAAGAGGTCCCCAATCAGACATCTGTTGAGGAGTATGTAGTGCGAAGTGATGATTGGGTTGGACTTTGATGTTTTCAAATAGTTCCTGGACTGATTGCGAGTATTTTTTGTAATGCATCTCAAACCGTTTGATATCACCTTGCTTGAATTTTCGAGCAAAAACTACATTCGTACATTGAACTAGTTGGGCAGTATTGGCCAGGAATTTGTACCGATTTGAGTGGAGGTCGATTGCTCCAACTTCATCAATGTAGAGTTCACAAATCACCAGGGGAATAACAAAGACATACAGCGCATGCCACTGAGATGCGCTCAGTTTGCCATGACTTGCCTCTCCGAGATTATGAGGTAAATGCGGAACACCAGGGGGTAGTACAATGTGCTTCATAGCCGCTCGAAATCGTTCGACATCTCCTTCGGTAAAGAAACTGCCACCTAACCCGCTGTTGAGTAATATATCATCATCCTCGTCAGATTGATATTCAATATCGTCATCGTCCAGATCCATAGCTATTTCAATTGATTCAATTGCTGTTCGGGTACGCTTATTGGGGCGAGTTGTTGATCTTGAGCCATTCTGCCGTTTTTTCTTTTTCTGGCTCGGTGGGACCCATCCAAACCTCCATCGATAGCGAAAGTGGCCTTGTAATATGCCTTCAAGCCAGTTGTGCATTACTCCTAACACAACGTGTCGGCTAGGGTCCCAGTAATGTAGACGATTGAGTTCGGACCATCGGACGCCAGAAGCCTTCAAGAGATTATCTTGTTCGGTTGTTGATGTAGCATTCTTTGAGTCAACAGCTGCAGAAATAGTTTCGTCTTTTTCACGTCTTCTGGAAAGTTGTAATAGGTGGAGCTTGGATTGTTCAGCATGACAGAACGAGCAAAATTTTGTTGCTGAATGGGAAGCGTAGCCAGCGACCTTCTTCGTTGCGAGTACATCACCGTAAATACATAACAACTTGACTTGCACCAATCGGCCGGCTGGAAATTGATGAGTTGGGATGATGATACCAGCGTCAAGTCTGATAAGTTCGTCTACAAGTGGGCCTAGGAGATGGTTGAACGTCTGGGGATCTGGAGAGTAGGGTCCAGGAGTGATTCCAGCAATGCACATGTGTGAAATCTTATTCCGAATGGTTGGTGGAAGATTAAGGCAGGAAAGTGCAAGAACCCCGGTCGATTCAATCTTGCCACTGATCTTGTTCCCACGAGGATTGAACCAGTCGACAAATAATGACACACCTAGCTTGAGTATGTTGGATT